CTAAAGCTATCCGTGTCGCGAATGAACATTTGCAGAAAACACATAAACGTTGCCAAGCTCAATGCAATAAACATGTTCAGTTTCAACCTTTACGTGTGGCTGATAACGTGCTAATTAAAGACCCAATTTAGTTAACTTCTGAAATTAAATGTGTTGTTCGTAAAGCTTTAGAGAATGATCCTGTTATATAAGAAATCGAAAGAGGGGATGGTAAAGTTATGTTGTTAGGGCATAGTAAACTACAGAAACGATTAGAGTTGACCAGATAGTTTACAATGTTCAAGAGTTAAAAGATAATCTATCAAGACCAGAAGTCAATAATGAAACTCGTCACGGTAGACTGACAGACAACAATGACAGTGGTAATGTTTGATGTTAAATTTGAAGAAGAAGATATATCAGAGAAAGCATTCAGTATAATTAAAGCCCTTGGTGAAAATCACTGATGTAGTGAGATTGAAATCGAGGTCAGGAACAAATCAGGAACAAAACCAGGGTTAGTTAAAATAAGCTTTGAGAACAGTGAACACAGAAATAGAGTATTACAAAACAAAAGTAAGCTGACAAAGAGTGAATTCAAAGATGTTTATATATCAAGAGCAAAATCAGTAACCGAGAGACTAATTGAATCCAATTCAAGAGCAATTATTCGACATTTACCAAACTCGGCACTGCGTGTCAATGCAGGTGGTAGAATTATTACGACAAATCGGTTAGAGGATAACCAATCATAGAAAAACGAACTAAAGTTACTCACACTTAATGTGTGCGGATTAAATTCAAAACTACTTTCTAATGATTTTGAGAATTACATTTCTGAATTTGACATTGTATGCTTAGTTGAAACTAAAACCTCATTCTTGGACTTACTTGAAATAGACGGTTTTAATTTACATCTAAACAGTAGAAAAAAATAAAAAAATTCGTCAGGTGGAGTTGCAGTGTTAATGAAAGAAAATTTAAAAAGTGACATTTCAATATACAGACAGGAGAATGACATTACATTTTGGTTTTCATTAGATGAGAGTCTGCTTGGATTTAAACTCGTGGGATGTGTTGCGTATATTCGCCCAACAAATACTAGTTATAGCAACTTAGATATGTTTGATGCCATAGAAGATTTGTACCTCAATTATTGCCCCGAAGGAACTGAATTTATACTGGTTGGTGATTTTAACGCAAGGACTGGACTATTAAATAAGACATTCACTTTGGATCAATCACATGAAGTAGATTTCGAGCTTGATGAATTTGAGCTAGACAAATTCGAACGTGAAGCATTATTAGCCAAATGTGACGTTTCACTGGAAAAATCTAATAGTGACAAGTCAGTAAACAGGTACGGCGAGTGTTTTCTCCTTATGTGTCAAAATACAGGTTCATATATTGCCAACGGTCGGTGAGGCTCAGATAAAGGAACAGGATCGTTTACATGTGCTGGAATCTCTGTCGTAGACTATGTAATGTGTAATCCCAAAGCAATTGTTAATATAACAGACTACAGTGTATGTGATTACAATCCACTATTCTCAGATAAGCATAACCCGATCTCTTTAAATTTGGGAAGAATAGCTTGTCAAAAGATAGATCAGGAATATCCAGTAAATAAGGTCACAAAGATCTCATGGAACCAAAATTTAGCTCCTGTGTTAGCTGACGGAATTAATGAAAGAAATACTGCTATAGTAATTGAGATGTTAAACCATGTCGATAGTGAAAACATTGAACAATCAGTGGTCGATGAAATTTGTTCGAGTATTGGTGATATATTCCGAAATAGTGCTAAGAATTCGGGTATCAGTAAAATGTTAACAGTCAATCAACTTTAAAACCGAAACAGAAGACGGGGAAGAAACCATGGTTTGATGAAACTTGTGAAGCTAGACGTAAGGAGTTCTTTAATGCAAAAAATAACTTCAACTTGAACGAAAGTGATGCAAACAGAAAGTCAAATCCGCGGCGTTCTCAATTTTTAATAAAAACTTTAATCAGGACTTAAAGCGACTGAAAAGGAACAACTCGTCGGAATATTGGAAATGTTTGATAAAAAACAGAAATGTCTCTAGAACTCTGTGAATCTTGATTCTTGTTATGATCACTTCCGTAAATTAAATGAAACCAGTGACGTTATTGAGCCAGAAACTGATGATATGTTATTACAGGAAAGCAAAGTTAATGACACTAGTACTATCAATGATCCTATTACAAAATCCTCCATTCTTAGCTTAAATCAAAATATGGCTGAACTGTTCTAATCTATTTAATATCCAGAGTTGATTATGGCCTGGATAAGTTAATTAATGTCTAATTAATAATTTAGAAAACATTTCAGGCCCAAAGAAAGACCTACAATAGGCAAATTTAGCTCTTGCATAATGTATGTTTAAGGTTAGTTTATGTATACATATATATTAAGATATAATTTTGTTGAATTAAGTATAGGAGTTAAACTTTTATTCATCTGTACATGCCCGGGACGTCATTCGATCTATAGGCTGGGGGAATGTGAGACCCGTGTCCAGTAACTGATCTAATTTTAGTTGCAAACTCAAGTTTCTAGATGATGCAATCATAACTGTATAATGAATAATAATGGGTCACGTGATGTTTTTGGGCGCGAAGAGAAGAGATTGATCCGGGTAGGAAACATGGCGCGTGTGCCAGGCAGTTTAGCCTTTATGTTTTTTCGATATTATGTATAGTACCGGTATACAGTAGTTTTCGGCGGTTAGCCATCCTGTTTAAATAGGAGAGATGACATTGTGTTAATGTAAAATGTAGTGTTACGGTAACTTTTGTATTTAAACCCAAATTGTTGACCACGTTTTGAAATGCCACTGTACGTAGGCTAGTAAACTGTAACTTTGTGAAGTCGTAAAATTGTAGCTCTTATCGTTGAACTGTTATAATAAACTGTATTATAAGTACTGTTGTAGTTAAATAGCATTCGGGGCCCATGTTCATATAAACGCTGGGAAGCAGTTTAATTAAGTGACCATAAAGTCTTGGTTCGTCTGCAAGTTGAGGACGGGAATCAAACAAACATTTTCTGTTACGGTCTAGGCCAGGGCCCGATTCCTTGAAAATTCTTAAGCACGTTCTTGTGCTTAGATTTTAAGTAGACTTTGCATTTAAGTAAACGTATCTTATTTTGTGTTCCTAGAAAATTCTTAAGAACGTTCTTGTGCTTAGATTTTAAGTAGATTTCAGTGTAAGCACAAGCACATTATTATGTGTTCCAAGAAAAAACTTAAGCACAACTTCGTTCCTAAACATTGTCAATCTAAGCACAAGTCCAAAGCAAGGTATACGGCTTGCTTACCAACCTTAACCCCGTCTGTTTCAGTCAAGATGGCTGACCGTAGAGTTATTCGACGGCATTTCCTACATCTTTGGATACCAAAAAGACAATTAAAAGACAGAAAATCCTTTAGAAACATAATTATTCTCGAGAAGAATATAGAAAATTTCGCTTCTACCCTGACATATGGTGGCTGAAAGCGTCCATTTAGATCGGCGGGTTTCTAGATACAACGCGGGAGTCGCCGTTAAGCCAGCACGACGAAAAAGGCGCCGATCGGCGACTTTTTCGTCGTACTACCTTATCGGCGACCCGCGACTTTCACAACACGAGAGTCGCCGTTAAGCCACGCGCCGAAAACGGCGACTCTCGCCTCGGAAGTTTATAGTTAGTTACATGCGCAATGGCTACATTTTACGTACACAGATCACCAAATATTTCTACGCCGTAATGTAGGGCGAAAGTTATTTTTAGTCTTTCTCTCGCTTTCCCTTTTCCCCCTTTTGCATCGCGATTTTCGGTGTAGAATCGAAGAAAGGGGTTTGAAAATACATTTTCTGCCAGGTTTTGGTGAATATTCATGATTTTGAGAGGTCGGTTAGGTTGAAATGTAGGGCCGAAAATTGCATGTTTACTTGTCCCTACTTCCAGCTTGTGTATTTCAAGTTTTTCATGGTAAACCTCATACATGCTTTTGTGCAAGAGTTTGCCACATGTTGCTCCATCTGTGGCAGAAAGTAGGCTAGCCTACAAGTCCTAACTCATCCAAAAGCTCCTCCATTTTATATACAAGAAGTAAAATGTAGCCATTGTGCATGTAACTAACTATAAACTTCCGAGGCGAGAGTCGCCGTTAAGCAAGTCGCGTGGCTTAACGGCGACTCTCGTGTTGTGAAAGTCGCTGGTCGCCGATAAGGTAGTACGACGAAAAAGTCGCCGATCGGCGCCTTTTTCGTCGTGCTGGCTTAACGGCGACTCTCGCGTTGTATCTAGAAACACGCCGATCTAAATGGACGCTTTCAGCCACCATACTGAAATCATTTTATTTATTTGCCAATTAGTAAACAACACAAACACGGGCTACTTTAAGATCAAGCGCTCTAACAATTATTCAGTCTGTTTGCATGTGCTTGTGTTTTTTTTTTTAACTTGTGGCACATTTTATATATAGGGGTCATGTAAATGCATCTAAATCGACCATTTTGCCGGGAAGCATCCAACCAATTTATGATGTAATTCGCATACCAAAAGTGTTTTTATGACATTAGAGAGCATCGTAGTCACAGTTTACCAATCACAATGTGCTTAGACTCATACTTGACTTGTGCTTACGTAAGAACGGTCTTGAGAATTTTCTAGAGACTGTATTTTATAAAGTTTCCTACGTAAGCAAAAGTGAAGCGTGACTTTGTGCTTACTCTAAGGATTTTCTAGGAACCGGGCCCTGGTCTGTGATACTACGCTGCCTCTTTTAAAGTAAGCAATCTCGAAAGCCATTTGTTTTAATTTTGATATCTTATTTATTTTAAGTAAACCTTAAAAGTAGTAATAAAATAAATGACATTTCATCAAACTGTTTAACAATCGTAGGTTTTTTCCAAACACTAATGTTAATTTGATATCTTTGACTTCCACAGGGTCAAAGCGACAGGAGGTCGCAAGACTATACGACTATCTTTAAAAATGAATATTGCAATACCTGCAGTAGAGGGTCGTGTTTGTAATTCCAGACGTGGTTATCAATCTTGTAGCTTCCATGCTATAGTTACTACATCGTAACATTTCCTGAAGACATTGTGGGGTTACTGAAATAAATGAAAGAAAATTAATAAACTATAATACCAATGAACCAGGTCAATTCAATTTATATAAAACACAAAATGACAAATCTGTGTAATACTATGTGGATATTTACACAGGAACAATCCAATAAGTAAATAGCTTTTGGAATTTTATACTCTGCCTCATGCACAATGCAGGTACACTTATTAGACTCTTGCTCAATCAATCACCACCACATTAATATCTGTTAAGTTCGTATTTTATAGAAATACAAGTCAAATATGAATGACAATACAAGAACTAAGTTGGAAAATAACAATGTTAAATATACAATGAAGAGTTAAAGTATAGTCACCCGCATTTGTTACCCCAACAAACTGTCACAACAGTAATGCTATTTCAGTATTTTGCAAGTCGGACATTTTTAATCATGGTTAACATAGTCCAGAATTAGGTTACCAGAAGTGGTTGTCCAGGAAATAAGGTCAATAAGAAGCTTACATTCCCTTAAATGGACTAGAAATAGTTATGTTGTGTAGCATATCGTATTCTGAATAATATTTATGATTAATACAAAAAAATAGGTGGTCTTCACTAATTTCATGTTTAATTTCCATACTGGCTGCTATAGTTCACTTCGGTAATATTCCTCAATAATTACGTGCCTTCGTTTGTAGAATAGAAAACGAAATTGCAACGTTCGTGATAAGAATAGTTCATGATATTGTTTTTTTCTTTATAAGATAAGTTGCCGGGCAACGAAACATACGCCCACGGCAGCTAAATCGTCCGAGGGGTCAACAAGGGCAGGGGCGGATCCAGGAATTTTTGCAGGAGGGGGTTTGCCAGGTTCCTTAGACAATGTACCCCCCCCCCCCCCATGGTCTCTATCGTCATTTCGGCGTATATACATACACGCTGAGCTTTTTAAACAGATAAATTCAACACCTCATTTGACGTCAATTTTTATTATTAATTAATACAATGACATTGTGATTCAATTTGATGGATGCAAAGCATTAATTGTAATATCTAATAATGTCTATATCATTATCTCGTGCTTTGAGTGCCCATCCTGTCCCACATCTGACGATAAAGGATAAAGCACACGGACGAGAAACTTTTCTCATAAAAAGTGTTGATTTACAAAAAAAAATATGTAGCTGAGCAGGGGGGAGGGGGGGTCGACCTCCCCACTCCCCCCTCTGGATCCGCCCCTGAAGGGTTGTAGCATATTTAATCTTTTGTAGGTAATGGGGGAAATAATTTTCGTGTTTTGAGGGTTCACAGGATGCTACAAACTGAAACAAGGGTCTTAACTCTGGAAGTAATATACAAAAATTGTTGAAATTCGACAGCATTTTTCGTTTTACTAATTTAAATAATCCACATAAATTTCATACAGATCAGACGATTACTTTTGTCGTTTGAGGGTTCACAAGGTTCAACAGAGTAAAAAAAGGACCATAACTCTAGAGGCCATTTACAGAAATTGCTGAAATTCAATAGACGTCTTTGTTTCACTAACTCAAATGATGCATGTAAATTTCATACAGATCGAATAACTTTTGTATTTAGGGCATTCACAAGATTTAACAAAGCGAAACAAGGGTCATAACTCTAGAAGCAATAGACGGAAATTGTTGAAATTCAATAGACTTCTTCGCTTCACTAATTTAAATAGTGCATAGAAATTTCATACAGATCTGATGATAGCTTTTGTCATTAGAGCATTCACAAGGGCCATAACTCTAGACGTAATTAACGGAAATTGCCGCAATTCAATAGACTTCTTTGTTGCACTAACTCAAATGATGCATATAAATTTCATACAGATCGGAAGATAACTTTAGTCGTTAGAGCATTCACAAGGTTCAACAAAGCGACACAAGGGTCATTACTCTATCAGCAATTGGCGGGAATTGCTGAAATTCAATATAATTCTTCGTTTCACTAATTTAAATAATGCATATAAATGTCATACAGATAGGAAGATAACTTTTATCGTTAGAGTATTCACAAGGTTAAACAAAGTCAAACAAGGGCAATAACTCTAGAGCATTCACAGTGTTTGACAAATTGAAACAAGGGCCATAACTCGAGACATAAATAACGGAAATTGCTGAAATTCAATAGACTGATTCATTTAACTAATTGAAAGAGTGCATATAAATTTCATAGAGATATGATGATAACTTTTGTCGTTAAAGCATTCACAATGTTGAACAAAGTGAAAGAAGAGCAATAACTCTAGACATGATAACCGGAAATTGCTGAAATTCAATAGACTTCTCCGTTTCACTAATTTAAGTTATGCATATGAATTTCATACAGATCAGAACTTTTGTCGTTAGAACGTTTACAGAGTTTGACAAAGTGAAGCAAGGGCCATAACTCTAGACATAAATAACAGAAATTGCTGAATTTCGATTTGCTTCATTTCACTAATTTAAAGGATGCATATAAATTTCATACAAATATGAATATAATTTTTGTCGCTAGAGCGTTCACAAGGTGCAATAACGTGAAACAAGGGCCATAACTCCAAGTTACTAATCAACCTGTAATGTGTTGTTTTAGCATGTGCACAGGTGATTATTTTGGGAAAAGTAGGTGGTCATATAAATGAACACCCCAACATACTAACCCGGTGATTGTCAAAACAGATCACGCATTTTCGTGAGTGCACTGTATTAGAAATAACAAGGAACATCGTGTTAATTAAAAAGATAAATACATGTAGTTAAAACAATAAATATATATTTTTTCAATGTAGATTGTGAAATAGTTTCATTAGCTAGAAAATGCATCCAATAGAATAAGGAACAAATACACAAAACCTAGCGCACTGGGATAAATTTCTGTTTGGTCATGTTTTAGATAATTGTAATCTTGTAAAATACCTTTCCTACATCATCGCACATGCTATTTTTTTTTTTCGCACATGGTCAGTTTGTTCTGTGGCTGACAATTCGTGAATGTAAAACGTATTCCAGTCAATGCAGCATACCCCATTCACATCAAATTGATATTACATTATTCATTGGCCTGTTGTGAATTTTAAAGATAGATTGCCAGGCAACGAAACATACGCCCACAGCCGCTAAGTTGCCCGGGCAGTCAATAAGGGCTGTCGCATATTTATTTCTTTTGTCGGTAAGGAGAGAGAAATGGGGTTTAACGTCCACTCGACAATACTAGGTCATTTCGGGACTCACATGGTTCAATTTTATTTCAAAAATTCGCTTGCGCGTTTGGGTCTTTAGCAGTGGAGGAAACCGGAGGACCCGGAGAAAACACACAAGGTTGGACAGGTGACCCTACTCCTTGTGACGTACAACCGGGAATCGAAACCCTGCCAGTTGACTCAATGACAGACCTTATAATACAACGCGCACGCGCTAACCATTCGGCCATCGAACCCCCCTTGTTGGTAAGGAAAACATTTACAACACACTAAAATATAATTACGAATAACAAACCCATTAAGTAATTGTCATACTTGTTTGGCTTCTAATTCTGCCCTATACTGACGTTGAGTTCTCAAAACATTAAATATCGCGTTCTCAGTGTACAACCTTGCACGAGCTCGGATGTTCATCTAACTTGAACCCCTCTGTCTCAGTCGATAACCCTTACTTATTATATAGAGAGGATACGTGCATGAGTCATGTACTGAACCCCGGGAAATTGACCAGGTACTTCCATTATCGGATTGGTCAGCTGTACAGACGCTACCCTGGATTTCAACACAGTGTACTTATATGGGCACCCAGGAGGGCGGCTAACCACGTTTCTAACGCCTGGGGTTGCCATATTTAAACTACCAGACTTATCCTTGTTAGCCAAGTTTTCGTTGTCACTGGTACTAGCTAACAACTTCAATACATTAACCAGGGCATCTTTTTAGAGCACTCAGATAACCTCTACTATAGACCCTATAGTATTACCAAAGAACAGGGTAGAGGGTTATCATATAAGTCTTCTGCATTAATGTCAGATAATGCGTTTCGGTAATTAAATATTTTGGATGCAATGGGTTAAGTATAAGTATAGGAAATCCTAGGAGCAGATCAGCACAATTAGAATCCAATCCTTTAATTAATTTCAAAACAGTTAGTGGAATAGAATATAATTTAGTACGGATATGGTGTGGTCCTTGGATAATTTCCAAAAGGGCATCAAGTGAAATAATGTTGAACTTGGGTGGTGTGTAGCGACGATGTCCATGACTGCGTTTTCTACGAAGAAACTTTAGGAATAACTACTCAAAGTAGGGCTGTTGGTATGGTGGTAAATTTTCTCTAATATAGACACTGTCATTGATAGTATAGAGTGGTCAGGTTGTTTAAAATGTCTCTAAAGAATCTGGTTACTACCATTATTAATATTGTGACGATGACTGTCCTTTAGTTTCGCCTATATAAACCAGTCCGCAGAGTGTACATTCTATATCGTAGATAACATTGGAGGTTTTAAAATTTAATTTCTCGAACCCACGTGTAAAATATGTTTTATTAGTTAAAGAAATTGTAAAAAAAATGTTACTATTCAACATAGGACTGGTGTAGCACCATGGGTCGTCTGTCAGACATGGAGAGCGGACCACTACTAATACCGGTCGCAACATCCGGCGTATAACCCAAGCACCATTTCTTACTACATATCTTAGTAGCCTTGTGACCGTCTAGTATTTTCACATGTTGGCTTGGCTTCCCTTTAACGTTGTGTATTCTCTTCTTCTTATCTAAATAGTTAAGACGTTTGTCTTCCCAGTTGTTAGGACGTTTGTCCTACCAAGAATAGCAATGCAACAGTTCGTTTTTACATTTTATATATCAAGCTGCTTACATATGGTACAATGTATAATAGAATAAAGTCATTCTCTCAAGCCCCATCCAGCCAGATTTGCTGGGGCGAGTCTGCTGACAGAAATTGCTACAACTTTTCCCTTCTAGAATCAAGCTGCTGTCTGACGAATGCTCCCAAATATGATAGTTTTGAAGCTTTGGGTTTTGGACCTTCAATTATCTAATTGGTCAAATATGATGTAAATAATTTTATAGATTGGTTAATTAAGCCAAATGACGTCGAAACCCAGTGGAAAATTACAGTAGAAATGCCCGACAAGATATCTGTTATCAACTTAGAATTGAATGTTTACCAAATTATAACTCTTTTTTATATAGCAACCTGTCATTCGTTCACTTATTGATTTAAGTACATATTAGACAATATGTTTGAATCCCACAACTTGCCAAAGACATAAATTAATACAATATAATGCCATCATTAATTTCAAGAGTAAAAATTCTAGCAATATTGCTACATAAGTTTTACAATTATTTGACATACATTCAGAAATATTATATTCATGTGGTGAAAAATGCAAAATATCAGTTTGACAGAACACTATTGGGTTGAGATGAATGAAACATCCGAGGAATTTAAAACGTTACAGACACCTGAACTAAGAACATCTCCCATACTATTATAAGTACGAACAATCCAAACCATAAGACAAAATTCGAAGTCCTAAAAAAACGGTAAAGGCAAAATAGTGTAATCAACAAATGGGCTGTTCACCGTGTACAAAATACACGACAAACAGTGGTAACAGGTGTCCGGAAGAGTAAGCTTACCCTGCGTGGCGCCACATTAGACGAAATCTCGGTAAAATAGCGCAATTGGCCAATGGACTACCCGTATGCAAAATGCACACGATGAACAGTGTTAACAGATGTAGTAGACATAATCAGGAAGATAGTATACGCGTCAATTAATAATATCTAGAATAATTGCCGAAAGAGACATGTTATATTTTTGTAAGTTTAGTGGACAAGTATACAGTAGTTGAAGCTTAGATGACAAATGCCTCGATCTACTTAAAAAATCAAAATAAAAGCAACAAGCTCTCGCGTATTGAACTTGCTTAGGCACATACACTCCATAAGCTGGTGATATTGGAATGTTACTACTAATGAATGGAAAGTTATGAATCAGAAAGTCAAAGTCATCACGTTTATCGTACAATTTAACACACAGTTTATGGCAATTGTCAAAATCGAGACGCAGATCCAAGTAGGAAACATAATTGTCACTGTCAGTAGTATTTTTAGTTTCGAGCTCATCAGGATATATGAATTCTATATAATCACTAAATTTAGGATTATTCAGTGATAGAACATCATCTATATATCGATAAGTGAAATTAAAACGTCTGGCTAATCGTTTATTTGATTTTAGGAGTGCCTGTATATAATCGGCTTCGTAAGAATATAGAAACAAATCAGCAAGCAAAGGTTGGTGCCCATGGGGATAAGTATATATAGACTGTGTTTCCGAGTGAAGGGGTGTGCAACCATTTGCTCTCGACAAAATTCTATGTAATAATGTTATGTAGCACTGATGTTGGAATAAGCTACGGATCCGGGCTTGTTTTTGACATTCAGTGGTGTACGATAACAGTATATTTGTTTTGGTTGAAATGTAAAATAGAAGTTAAAATTGTAAATGATTAGGGTAAAAAGGTCCCATTACTGACGGGGGAAATATAAAATAAATAATGTAATTGTTTGGGCGGAATTATAAAACAAAAACGCAATTATAAAATTGTAGATTACTGAGTTAAGGTCAAGAGATAAAAATTAGTTTGTAGTTTTCTAATTAAAGAGACACATCAAAGTTTATTGATAAATGAAAGTTTAATTTTAATTAAATGTAAGAGTTGATAATAAGATTTAGAATAATAATGTTAGACTTTTATTAAAATAAAGTTGTAAATCAGGAATAGTTAGTTCTTGGTCTGATGGCAATGACATGTTTGATTGACGAATAAAATTGTAATTTGGCCATAGCCAGTCACCAAAGAAGAGTGATGGAAATTCTTGAAAGTCGGAGAAGACTTGTGACTAACGAGATACCTTGCTTAAAAGAAAAAATGAAAGTTTTCAACTTTGAGACTTTGGTAGCTGAAACAGATCAATAGAAATCAAAGAAGAAGAAATGGTTTACCAATTTACTAAATTGAGATTTCCTGAGACAGAATTTAAAGTGAAAACTGAACTGTATAAATTAGAAGTGATATGTTATAGTATTTTAAAATTAGGATACTTGGAGATTTAATAAACAATTACAATTGTGTTTTCTGTGTTTAGGTTAAAGTGAATTTTCATAGGACTGTGAAGGGCAGTGATGAACTTTTAAAGATCGATTGCATGTGTTTTTGTTTTTGATTTTTGTTTATTTCTGTTTTTATTGATACTTTTATTCTTGAAACTGATTGGAGCAGACTGTGATCATATGTAATCGTGTATGTTAATCGTACAGCAATCATATATATATTTTTGGACTGACAACTTTGAATGTCAGAGTGGCGTTTAAAGATACGTGCTCCCAATTAAAGAAGACAATTAAAAATACTAGACGACCAGGAACTGTTCTAAATCATGTAGCAGAGGAGAAAGTACGTGTCACACGTTGGACGTGGGGATTTTTTTTTAAAATCCTACTTTCCACATCTAGCCAGCAACTCATAGCACTGCATGGTGCTAAATTGATCTTAGTGTCTATTTCAGGCCAGTTTTGTAATAAACATCGTTTACTGCATGTATACTGTTTAAAAGAAATTTCAAAATGGTGGTTTGAGAAGTAAATATAGCAACGTCTGATACATAAAATCATCAGATTTGTAGTTTTGGAGGATAATTCCTTTCTGTAGCGTGTGCCAAGCTCAAGGGCAGTTAACTCTGCTTGGCTTAATATTAGGTCCAAAAACTAGATGTGATTTTAAGCGGAAAAGTAGGTATCGAATTACGTTTGACCGTACCTTTATTTTTATTGGCGGATGGTGTAACTTGGCGGGAGATGTTCGGGAGAATGTTGGGCCTGTGGAATATGACAATTGGACCCGTATCAGGTGAGTGGAACGATTTATTCTAGAATTTTAAAAAAATTCAAATATTTTCCATTTCTTTACGTAGGAATATTCCAACATAATTTTACGATTTTATGACACTTTAGAGAATATTCTATTCATAAAAAATTAAAAACCGAATTGTCATGGACGTAATCATGCGTTAAATTGAGAATTAAGTTTAAAAAAAATACAGCAAATAACGGTACATGGCGATAAACCGGAAGTTTATGCCTATGCCGAACGCTGTAGCTATTTGTTTCATTCCGTAAAAATGTGCTTATTCTGTCTTTTTTTTACATAGATCGGTTACAACATGACTTGGAAAATAAAACTACCCATGTTTATAATATATTAATGATTAAATTTTAGCCGATATTATTCGATCTGTAGAAAATGGACCGAACTCGACCCGAAGAAACGGCATAGTTCTATTGACAGACATAAATAAAACCGTATTAACGCACATTTTTTAAAAGCATAACTATATATATTGTATTAACAAAGAATAATTCACGAAGAAACTAAAGTGAAATGTTAGGCCAATTTATTATCACTGACATATGACATAATGGCATGCGATATTGCGAGTAGGCTGTCTTTTTAAAATTGTAAAAATAATATGTTTGTCAATGTAATATCAGATTACGTGGGTATGAAAACTAATCCTTTGCACTGGTTTGTTTAGTTTATTTCATTTTATTTTTTTTTCTATGCAAGCTGTTTACGAAAGACTCTGAAGCAGAGGCCTCATGCGTTCAGTGACCAGACTATCTGTCATATCAAAAATTGTTACCCCAACTAGTTGATAAGCAAAAAAACAATTATTCTTTGAAACCTTCCAAAAATTATTATATAATACCATATATTGTTATTATTTTATATAAATAACCAATATATATATTTATTTATTTATTATTATATAATACCATGTATTGTTATTATTTTATATAGATAACCAATATTTATCTATTTTATTTATTTATTTATTTATTTATTTATTGATTAAGAATTAAATTGAATTGAATTGAATATTTCGTAGGATGAAATCTTAAAAGCCTTGTTGTAATTTTACTATTTTATATCTATTTTCAGGTACTGGTATAAAAAATCAGTTGCATTAGAAACAATTTTTACTTTTTTACAATTTCATGTTTCATAAATCTACATTTTTGTTCTTTCTTTTTTTTTCAATTAAAAAAAAAAGTTAACCTTAAATAAAACATATTAAAAGTATTATGTGTTTAGATTCAGTTTCCAGGGAGTAGGGTCAACTGCCCAACCTCGTGAGTTTTCTCTGCGGCATCCCTACTGCTAAAGACCCTTACTGACAAGCAAATTATTGAATTAAAACGGTTGTGTATGTTAGTCCCAAAATGACCTAGTCTGAGTTATGTGGAGTTAAAACCCTCTCTCCACATCCTTCTTTCTATTTCTCCATATATCTACCTTTTCCCCTGCTTGAAATGCATATTTTAGGATTTGTGTGATGGGAGCAAATGTTTAAAAAGGAGAAATAGCAAACAATCGTCAATTTTAAGTCTAACCCTGGTCATTGATAACCACTTTTCCTGCAAAAGGGGGGGGGGGTATCTTATTCGTTATCTGAATGATTGGGAATCTAATAAGGAGTAACCAAACTGTTATTCTACCAAGTTTCATGTTAATTCATTGAAAAATAATTTGTTTACATTGCACTGAAGTCAAATTATCACTTTTTGGACCAGATTTCGATTTCAGACCGAAAAAACTAAATTAAAAAAAATTGAATATTAAAAAAATAACATTTGATTGGTACGTGCTACTTTCTGTGGTGTAGACGTACAGTGACCTACCTCCGTCTTCACAATTTTGTTGATACATCTGTCGACTTTGTCGTAGTTCTGATGACAGGTTCATAACATTGCTGCAGTCTCGTAGAACTTGCTCAGAACAGTTCAATGATTCCTTGGCTAACCTTGAATCAAAACGAAATCGAATTTGTGCTTTATGATTTCACGAGAAATAAGAAATGAAACTCACAATGATGTGATATTAGTTATACTTTTGTGTAACACATACAGTGTTTCAAAGACTCAGGAGATTATCTATGTACTCGGAGGCCAGCTGTACTGTATACCCTAGCTGATGCCATCAAATTGTTTACTCTCTATACCCAACTTACTTGCAGTAATTATCAGGATTAAGGAAATTGTTCCCAGAGTAGTTGGTGGTCAAGTTACTGGCACATTCAAGAAATCGTTCTGAACACTGTAGCCTTTGTTCTTGAAGAGTGGCTAAAAATCAAACAGTATAAGGAATTAAATAAATGTTTCCTCCGTTTTCTGGCCATTTAATTAGCTAAGTTATCCATAATTTAAAACAAGCGGTTGCCATGTAAGACACGCCCACATTTTGCAAGAGATGGACAGAAAACAAGCTAAAAAAGGGTGATTTTTGAACAAACAATGGGATATACACATATATTTTAAGTTTCATCAAAATCTGATAAATATTCTGACTTCTAGAGTGTCCACAAGCTTGGTATTACATATACTTTTACACTATTTGCGTAAAGAAGTGGTCATTTTGTCGGGCAGTTTCGGTCTGATTTTCACGAAATTCAAACTCAACCTTCATTAGCTTGTAACACAGATATTTTCAAACGTTTTTTTTTAAAAAAAAACTGTGAGATCTAGAGCGTCCACAAGCACAAAAATGGATTTTTGGTACAATTTGGGGCCATAATCCAGGACGTTAAGGTCCGATGTGCGTGAATATCGAAAGGAACCGAGATCTTTTGGATATAAACATATATTTGAAGTTTCAACAAAATCGGACAAAAATTGTGATCCTTAGCTGGTCCACAACCTTGGTGTTAAATCTTTTACACTACTTACGGCTATTTTGTCTAGCAGTTTCGCTCCGATTATTACGAGATTTGAACTCAATCATCATCAGGGTGTACCGGTGATATATCTAACCTAAAACCGCGATTTGTTCGGACAATCAGGGGCCATAATCCAGGAACTTACACTCCGATATACGCAAATATCGAAACGAACTGAGATCTTTGGGACATAAACACATGTTTTAAATTTCATCCTCTAGAGGGTCCACAACCTTGATATTACATACTTTAACACTATTTGCGTACATAGAGCGGCCATTTTGTCCGGTAGTTTGGGTCCGATTTCACCAAATTCAAACTTAATTATTATTATGCTGTAACGGTGATATATTTAAACGTCTTTTTAAATCAGATAAAAATTGTAACCTCCAGGGGGACCACAAGGTACAAACGCGATTTTTTGTACAATCAGGGGTCTAATCCAGGAAGTTATAGAGGCCGATATGCGCGAATATCACAAGGAACCGAGGTCTTTCGGTTATAAACAAACATTTCAAGTTTATCAAAATCGGATCAAAAATTGTGATATCCAGAGTGCCCACAAGCTAAAAATCTGATTTTTCCTACAATCAGGGCCATAATCCATGAAGTTACTGACCGATACATGCCAATATCGAAAGGAGCCGAGATCTTTGAGATATTAACCTATATATCAAGTTTCCTCAAAATCTGACCTGTAGAGTGTCCACAAACAAATTGTGGACCGATGGACGGACAGACAGACGGACGGGCGTTCGGACGGACTGGGGCGGCGACAATATAAAAACATAAACTATAATATGCCCTACATTAGAAAAGTCATCTGGACTATTTCTAAAATAATTGTCAACAATAATCTTGTCTGGTAATTTTTTTTTAAAATGAAAAGCAAGTTATTTTTAAATCTAATCAGTTTATTTTGATTTTTTTCTTCCAACTACCTCAATGAACAACCCCCCTCCAAGTATTGACAAATTCTACACATAACTAATTTCGTGTATAAGATTCACAAAATTTAGAAGTAAAAATGTTAACAGGAAAATGTGTTCAAACATTGCTATCCGAAAAGTTTGAATTTTGACCCAACGTCAATCCCAATGACACACAACTTGCGGAGGTAGCGACAATGCATGTCTATATTTAATGTGTATTTATTACAGAGGGCGTTAATAATCCTATAGGTAAGGTCAATGAAGCAATGGTTATGAACATTACTAGCTCATTAACCACAGCAATTATGGTTGGATAGTACTGAACAAAAAAAAAATTCGTTGGCATCTGACAGGGTTCTGTCTAAGTAACATCTGATATGAAATATTTGTAGAGATGAAGAGACAAACGTCATCAGATCTGAGGAACACGAGAACTTACTGGCATTATTACAGTTGACCATTCGATTGTATTCATCATAGTAGTCATGACTACAAACACCACAATAATTTGCTCTAAAACATATCAAATAATAAATAATAACCACTAATGGCAGATTCATTTTGACAAAATAAAAGACATTTACATGTACACAAGTGAATTTGGAATGAAGGGGCAGAACATAACCAATTTGATTCAAGAGGAATTAGCGCTTTTAGAGTCTTCGGCAGTTGATATGAAGTAACTTTCAAATTGATGGGATTATCAGATTGGGGAAGTATGGTGGCTCAATGATTAAGGCACCGGATCACTAACTAGGAGGTCCGGGGTCTAATCCCAGTGTTGGCGTAGAAATTTCCCTGGGATTTTCCAGCATGGTAACCCCTTGTCGGTGGTGCAGGATGGACAGGGGCCGCGGTCCAGTCAAAATTCCCTCGCTGCATCCTGTATGGTGTATGCCCGTCTTCATTATCCCAGTCGGTGCAGAAAAGTAGGATGTTAAATTCCATTTCATTTCATTTCGTTATCAAATCATGGCTTTATTTAATCTAAAGGTTGACAGGCACCTACTTCACAAAGCAAATCAACACATCCGATTTAATTAGACCAAAATTTTTGTTCTTTACTCAGATCAAAGATTTCTAGATTAAAACGTATTAATAACATGTTGTATTTATTATGGTAAACATATAAGTGAGCAGTGTTTACAAAGTACTCATAGTTTTGACATTACTAAATGATCTTGCTTGTGGATACAATTCATGCTGAAGTTATTGAAACTATAAGTAACCTTACCTGCATATGGCATTTGGATGTCCTGGACAAGATGCCAAAAGACATGGATCGATAAAACAGTTAGCAACTGGTAAACCTGGTGGACATGATGAAGTGTTATCTGTTAAAAACAAAACAAAAAAAAAGTTTGACAAACTAGCTTTAAAAAAATACAGACAAATTAGATTTTTTGGCAGATTATACAAGAATAATTTTATACAAATATAACTTTGATTTATTTTTCAAATAAAAACATTAAATTATTTTAAAATTGTAGGTGTGAGAAATCCCCTGTAAATGGAAGGTAATAGGTAAGTACTGAAGGTAAAATGTGAGTACTGAAGGAAAAATGTAGGTACTGAAGGTAAAATGTAGGTACTAAATATAAAATGGAGGTACTGAAGGTAAAATGTAGGTACTGAATGTAAAATGTAGGTAGGTACTGAAGGTAAAATGTAGGTACTGAAGGAAAAATATTGGTACTGAAGAAAAAATGTAGACACCGGGGGTAACATGTAGGTACTGAACGTAACATGTAGGTACTGAACTGAAGGAAAAATGTAGGTACTGAGGGTAAAATGTAGGTACTGAAGGAACAAGCGGTTGCCATGCAAGATACGTCCACATTTTACAAGAGACGGGCAGAGAACAAGCTAAAAAAGGTGATTTTTCGTACAATAAAGCCCATAATCCAGAATGTTACGGTCCGACATGCGTCAATATGGAAGGTAGCCGAGATCTTTGACATATAAACATATATTTTAAGATTCATCAAAATCGGATAAAACTGTGACCTCTAGAGAATCCACGACCTCAGTATTACACGGAGAGCGGTCATTTTGTTGGACAGTCTCGACCAGATTTTCACGAAATTCAAGATAAACTGTCATTATAGTGTAACGGTGATATATTCTAACGGTTTTTAAAGTCAAATAAAAAAAATGTGACCTTTAGCGGGTTCACAAGCTAAAAGCATGGTTTTCGTACACTAAGGGGTCATAATCCAGGAAGTTAGGAGCCGATATGCGCGAATATTAAAAGGAACCAATTTCTTTTGGGTTATAAACATACATTTTATCAAATTCGGATACAAAAGCGAATTTTCGTACAACCAGGGGCCATTATTCATGAAGTTACGGTCCGATACATGCCAATATAGAAAATAACCGAGGTTCTTGGAATATAAACTTAACATTGTGACCTGTAGAGTGTCCACAAACAAATTGTGAATGGACGGGCGGACAGGGTTGACGGGAGATAACTGCACATGTCGTCTCATAGTCTAAAATATGTTTAAGCCATTAATCTATATAACCAGCGGATGCCGGGCAAGATACGCCCACATTTTGCAAGAGATGGATAGAGAACAAGCTAAAAAAAAGAAAATGTGTCTCATAGTCTAAAATATGTTTGAGCCATTAATCTATATAACCAGCGGTTGCCGGGCAAGATACGCCCACATTTTGCAAGAGATGGATAGAGAACAAGCTAAAAAAAGAAAATGCGTCTCATAGTCTTAAATATGTTTGAACCATTAATCTATATAACCAGCGGTTGCCGGGCAAGATACGCCCACATTTTGCAAGAGATGGATAGAGAACAAGCTAAAAAAAGAAAATGCGATTTTTTGTACAATAAGGGGCCATAATCCAGGAAGTTACGTCCCGATGTGCACGAATATCAGCAGTAGGAACCAAGATCTTTGGGTTATAAACATACATTTCAAGTTTGATCAAATCGTATGAAAATTGTGACCCGTAGAGTGTCCAGAAACAAATTGTGGACGGACGGACAGGAGCGACGACAATATACGTCCACATGCAAATGTCACCGTGTAAAGATGTGGGTACTGAAGAGAAATACTGTTTTCTTTAATCTGAAAGGTGAGATTTACAATCAACCTAATCTGATAGGTGAGATTTACAATCAACCTAGTTTGGAGTTAAAATATTTGTTTTGAAATATTTCACCATCTAATCATAAACCTAGGTATTGATAATGTATGCATATTATAATATGCTGAGGTAAGTGTATATACGTATGTTCCCTGTGCATTCAAGTACATTTGTTTTGTGTATTTATATACAGTGCACTCTGTCACATCCGACTTCTGGTCACTCCGGCACTCTGTTACATCCGACACCATTTTCATGTCCCGATTTATTTCCTTATTACTTCAGCCTTAAAAATCTCTGGGTAATTCGACCTCTGTACGTTTCGGATTACGACATCAATCAGCCGTCCCGTCATACGATTTCCATTGAATCGACACCGTATAATCCGGCCTTCAATCGGTGGGTGTGAAGCAAACACTTACCGATCAATTATCCGTGAGATTAAAACTGGAAGGGTGTGAAGCCACAAAAGATCAATTCTCTGTGAGATTAAAACTCGCTACCGTAGGTCTTTGTTGATTACTTTGATAGTTTTAATCTCTTGTAAGACAGTTGTGACAAATACTCAAGAATATGAAAAAAATGTTTTAGAATTTAATTTGACGGAAGAAAAAAGTTAATATTTGGGACTCATTAAGTCGCATCGATGTCATCCTTATCAGTGATTGTAGCGGCCTAGCGAAAATTCACTGCTGATCAGTGTGTATTTTTGGGATTGAGAGAATTCAATTCCGGAACGTTCAATCGAGTACGCCCAATGAACACGTGGTAGTAAAGACAAGAGTGCGATCAACTGTAGATGGCGAAGAAGATAGATTAACGACAGACTTGACCTATAGCTATTCAATATGCCTAAGCATGTTAAATGAAATAAAGGTTAATGTAATAAAATTTTGAATGTACAAAAAGGTCTATAATTTTTAAAGGGAACAACATTCTGGTGATTCGAAGTTCTATGTTCGAAGCTACATTATAATAACACTTACGGTTTTGAGAAAACTGGGTATTCAGACACTCTGTGTAATCCGAAATATTGTAACGATCCCGTACGATGTAGATATAAAGATACTTTTCCTCCGCCTTGGGACTATTCATAAATAATGTCATAATATCTGCATTACGCATTTATGTGTATCAGCTATATTTGCCACGTGAATAAGTTATGTCCCTTCTTTGATTGGCATTTAGTAATTGAACATATTAAAGATACATTCCCGTGTACAAACTGGGTGATTTAATGGTATATATGGACTAAAAACATATTCAAACTAATTAATTTGTCATAATTTTGCTTCAAATCCTTCTCAAACATTGTAATTGCGAAGGAATGCCCTACTATAAAAATTCGACCAAACCAGGTCATGTTTACGTCACGTGACTTACCTCTCTTGGAAGTCAGAGTAGAATTCATTGCATACGTAAGAAGACGATGTTGCCTTAATCGCTTACTATTTATTACAAATATCGAATCCTAATTAAATTCTCGGATTATCCACTACCCGCGTCTTTTTCCGTCATTTTTATACGTCCACATTCATAATGTGGATGTATATTGCCGTCGCCCCTGTCTGTGTGGGTGGGTGTGTGTGTGGGTGGCCACAATTCTTAAGTGATCATCTTCAAACTTTACATACTTATTCCTTATACCCTAAGGATGATCCTTATTGTTTTTGGTGCATGCCCGACCCCCAGGGACAGAGCCACGCCCATTTTTTTGTATTTGTTTGTTTGTCGTCTACAGGCCACATTTCTTAACGTATCATCTTGAAACTATGTATACTTATTCTTTGTACCCAACACCCAGGGGCAAAGCCACGCCCATTTTCTTTTTTTTTATGTCTGTGTGTCGCCTACAGGCCACAATTCTGAATCATTCGCCTTGAAATTTTTTCATATGAATTGCTTATACCCTAACGATGATCCCTATTGTTTTTTTTACCCCCAGGGGCAGAGCCACGCCCATTTTCTTTTCTTTTTATGTCTGTGTGTCACCTACAGGCCACAATTCTTAATCAATCGTCTTGAAAATTTTTCATATGAATTGCTTATACCCTAACGATGACCCCTATTGTTTTTGATGCATGCCCGACTGCCAGGGGCATAGCCACGCCCATCCCTTATATTTATTTATTTGTTTGTCATCTACAGATCGCATTTCATATCGTATCACCTTGAAACTTAGCATACATATTCCTTCTATCCTAAGGAACATCCCTATTATTTGTGGTGAATACCCAACCCCCAGGGGCAGAGCTACGCCTATTTTCTTTTTTTATGTCTGTGTGTCACTCGCAGACCGCATTTCTTAATCGATCATCTTGAAAACTTTTTTATACTTATTCCTTATAGCCTAAGGCTACTTTTTTATTCTTATTCCTTAATCCTAAGGCTGAGCTCTATTATTATTTTTGGTGCATGCTCGACCCCTTGGGACAGAGCCACGCCTAATGTTTGTGTGTCTTGTGTTTTGCTTACAGGCCGCAATTCTTAATAGATCCTTTTGAAACTTTGCCTACCTATTCGAAACGTCATGCTTTTAGAATAAAGACATCGATTGTTTTAAAATAAAAATTGTGTTCTGTTAATGTGAACGAAATGTTAAACTGATAGCAGTCCTACAACCCAGTTTTATTTCACAGACCCTCAATGCAAACTGGACCATATCAAACAAAACAGGAATGTATATTGCTGCGTTAGCGATGCTCTTGTTATCTCAGAAAGTGTTGTGCGTCTAACTCTTCATAAATGTTATCAACTTGTACATCAAGCGCCCAATGTTCGCGTGTGACCTTTGACTTCGCGTATGCAGAAATTCCTAATCGTCGGGCTATCGATCATGGGAACCCTTACATTTTTGTCCTGTATATGCTCCAGGAGTGTTTTTCGGGGAATCCAGTATTTTTCTAGTAAGATTGGGTATCTCTACTTTCATACCAAAATTACCATACTTTTATTGGAAATAACCACCCGATAAATACTTTTCTGGGAACCCATCTTTAACACAAGGTACAATTTGATAGATACACAATTACTGAGTTTAATACTAAGCGACGTTTCGACGAGGATACTCTCGTCTTTATCAAGCGAATGATAAAGCTATGTGAATAGTAGGCAAATATACACAGAATATGCAACAAATAACAATTAAATACAATTAGGGGACAATTTACAACTAAACGTACACAACGGAAACTCTTACAGGGATAAAAAGGAGGGGGGGTCCTAT